ATTTGAAAATATAATAATATAACTTGAAGTTTCCCAGAGCTAAAAGTGATGTCTAGATATCCCTTCTTTTTTTCTTTTTTTTTACAACTGCAGAAAAACCCAAATATATTGCAGGGCTCGACATTATAAATGGCCCGCTGGCCCGGAAGCACTATTTAGACACCCCGGGCCAGCATAACGTACTTTGCACTTGCCCGCTCGGGCCACTAAAAATATTTCTTTAAAAAAAAATGTCCTGTGGTATTGGTATTTTGACTAGCAATTTAGTTAAATTGTTTCGTTTATCAACGCTACAACATAGCGTTCCGTGAGTCGGTTGTCGTTGTTGGGTGAAAAGCAAACAGCCGTTTGCTGCGGAGCACAGCGCGAGCAGGCTCCCGTGAGCGGGAGCGCACTCCTTCACTACAGATTATCGCGCCACCTAACCATTCGCCAAAATGTTTTTAATACCAGCGGTAACCGGCCAAGCGCCGGGCAAAAAACAATCTTCAAATAAAAGAAAGTCACCGGAGGAGTTAAAGGAGAGTGACAGGGAGCATGAGAAGAAGAGGGAGAGAAAGTTTCAGCCAGCTTGATCGATGGTTCTAGTGGTGCAGTGCCGTGTCCTAAAACCCTTTTATAATCTATCGATTAGATTTATGATTCGAAAATCATAAAAGTAGGGTAGACATCCGGCTGAACAAAACGTGCATTTATCAAACAGGTTTGTTTCCCACAGACCTTATTTCCAGCTATTTTCCAAAACCCTGTGGAGAAATCCCATTGCTTTTTGTCGAGGGAACCAGCAGCTTACTTACTGGTTTTAGGACGAGTTACTGCACCTCTCAATATGATGGCAATATAAACAAGGTCTTCTGTCGGCTCTGTACATCAATGCCGACCTATGCTGACAAGTAAGTGAAGAGTAGACAATATAAAGGTATTGGCGAAATGTCCCAGCAGTTTAGGATAATGAAGGTTCTAATCAAATCAATTACATAGCCATTACATGTCTAACTCCTAATGACAGGAAGGCAGAAAGTGCATTATACAAATAATAATACTCATAATAATAGCAGAAATGTTTTAACAATGACCACAATATCATTATTTTAATAAACCAAATATGAACAATTGAGGAAAATGAGGAAGAACTGATGATTCAAATGTTGTAGTACAAGTAGTAATGTAGTTAGTGCATAAATAAGGCTACTATTGCAACAAATGTGTTAATTTTCTTCATTATTAGTCGATTTTTTTTTTTTGGACGAATGCTCCGGGCCAGTGGTTACAATGGTGGAGCCAGTGATAATACAATTCCACCGGCCCGGAGGGCCAGTGGCATTTTACCCTTAATGTCTACCCCTGTATTGGGTTTTATAGTTTATTATAAAGACAAAGAAAAACATAAAATATTGACATTTAAGAGAAACTAGGGAATTGGTGTGTTTCTGTGCTTCAAGAGATGGCCCAAATTATAAAATAATAATCTAAATAATTGCCTATTATTATCATTGTGATTGTGCCATAGACTGATTGTCTTCCCTCTGCTCCTACAGGAGGTCCGTATTGACAAACAGCTGCAGTCTGGACTCCGAGTCACAGTGAAGCTCAATAAGAAACAGAGCAATGGTAACAAGACATTTTATTATTTAATATATTTTCTCTCTTAAAGTCCCCATGCGCTCTGGATTCTGCCACTATCAGCTCAGTGTGTCTTCCTGTGTCTCCTCCTCAGAGAGTAAGATGTGTAAAGGAGCGGTGGTCGCTCCTCACCTCCCCCGCACTGAAGGAGGTCTGTACTGGGGGTACAGCGTCCGCCTGGCATCCTGTCTCAGTACGTTTCTTATTCCTGTGATCAACTGCTATTATGCCCTAAATCAATTTCTAACATCTTAAACCATTTTAATCTGAATAGCTAGGCCAGTTATGTTTTTTTACGTTATCAGCTTAGAGTGCGATAACCACCATCATTTGTACATTATCGACTATTCTTCTAGAATAGTCGATAAAGGAACATTTTATATTTGAGCCGGATGGTAGAGGCGTGTTGCGGCTAATATGTTGTTATTCGCACTTTCTGTAAACAAATGTCCTTCTATTGACAAACGGCTTGCATCATTATGCCTGTTTCGGATGGAAAGACTATGCAAATGTTAATACTTGTTTTTATCATTTTTGAAGATTCCAAGATTTTTTTGTTTTGGTTGTTTTAATTTATCCTTTATTTATTTAGAATTTGGGACCTGCTCCATCGAAATCAGTCGCATTGACTCAAAGACACATTTTGAGTTGTATACACTGTTGGAAAGAGGAGAGTCATAGCTTTCTAATGATATCAGGATTGTTGTTGTTCTCCAAATATTAAGCAAAATATGTCACATTATATAATGACTGTCACCGAGTCATCATTTTGAGAAAAAGGCCTTCAAAGTTTCCTCTTCTCTGGAATCCATCGATCTGATTGATTATTAGAAAATGATCAAAATACTACGGAGGGAAGATATTTTCGTTTGGGGGAAGCTCGTGTGTGTGCGTGTGTGTGTGTTTGTGTTATTTTGCGTTTGTGTGTATTGTGTTTGTTTCCCGGGGAAAACACTCAGGAGAAACACCGGCTGTTGTTATGCTTGCTGTGACGTCAAATTACTCCGTTCTCCGCTTGTAATTATGCCGTTAAGCTTCAAAGCTGTATTTATCATCTGAATTTGCCGAAACAAGTTTAATATTCTGAAAGCCAAGACTTAGTTTATTTGAAATCAGATGAAAACAAACTGTAACGGACCCTGCAGTGTTATCTATGATTACTATACGCCTTACATTCATAATTTCAGCCGGAGGGAGGGGGAGCGGCGCTGTGGAACAGCAGAGTGGCGAGGGAGAGCTGTTTTCATCCCTTTACAAGCTTCAAAAATGTATTTATCGTGTGATTTTGGAAATAGAAGTTTCATATTCTGAAAGCCAAGACTTTGTTTGTTTAAAATCAAACAAAACACCCGAACCCCGAAAAACTATTTATTTACGCAAATCCACGTTTATTTTGAAATGAGCCGTTGCGACTTCCGACTGATTTCGATAGAGCGGGTCACATATGTTTTCACATTTCAATTCCAGTGTACATTGCTCTTTGAAAATGTTTACTTTCATTTTAATGCTAATATATTATCATTGTATATAATGGTATAAAATGGGGTTAAAATGAAAATAGTGTCTTTTATCTCAACTATTTCTGGGACAATATATCGTCCAAACAAAAGTATTTATCATGACAGGCCGGACCTAGCTTTTTCATCCACTTTGTGTACTAATCCAGTATGAGTATCTAGCACGCTGTGACTGCTTGACCCTTATCGCTGTTGGTTTGGTAATGCAGGTGCAGTATTTACTGAAAGTCCGTATGAGGATGGATACGACCTGACTATTGGAACATCAGAGAGAGGCAGCAACTTGGACCAATCAACACTCTCACCATTCAAGTAGGTTCAGAAACAATAGGATAACTATCGCTAAATTCACTCTCAACGAAGCAGCAAAGTGCGGCATTCAAGTAATTATTAAAAGTTCAACTTTTAAGGCACATTTTTGGCCAGAGATTTCCTACAGCTAATTTGTTAATGGACTCTTATTTACTATGTTGACCTGTGCTGCAAATAATTGATTTAGCTTGATGCACATAAATAGTCTTCTGGCTGCACACAGTAGTTTAATATCTCCTTTTGAAATGTAGTGGGGTAGAAGTTTAAAGCAGGATAAACCCACTTTCCAACACCACATTCTAACACCACATTTGAAGTCTTCTTATAACAATAATGGTGTTTTTCCCACTTTGTAGGCATCTTTTAGTCGTTTTCGGAGGTCTTCAGGGTCTGGAGGCCAGTGTAGATACGGACCAAAACCTGGAAGTGACAGACCCGAGTGTTTTGTTTGACCTTTACCTCAACACATGCCCCGACCAGGGCAGCAGGACCATTCGCACAGAGGTGAGGGCTCCTTAAATGACATATTTGATTAACTTTTGTGAGACAAGACAGATTTACACTCTTTGTACAAGCAAATACCTTATTCATTTGGATGCACACCACGTGTTAATTTACTTTTGTTTATCTTCTTTTCAACAGGAGGCAATTTTAGTTTCCATGGCGGGGCTGAGACAGAAGATCACAGCTGCATTTTCAGATGTTTCCAGCGGTTCATTAAAGATTTAATGAAGAAAGGAAGTAAGCAAAGACTGGCAGACGTTTTATAATGACCATCAAGTTGTACTTTTTCCATTATCAGTGCTGTAGTGTTGCTTACTGTAAAACAGATGTTATTTCAAACATTCAACATCATTGTTCTTCATTCTGTATGTCTTTGTTTGTAAATGGCTCAACATATTGTACATATTGAAATACAAAAACTATCCACAAGCTTCAACTGACTTGTATTGTATTTTTCAAAGCATATAATGACTCGCAACAGTACTTTCAATGAAAAACAGCGTTGAGATGGCACAACATGTACAGATAAATGTACGGAGGCAGACAGGTGCAAACGCGCTACAACGGCCCAAAACACTCAACAACTTCACAATCCCTGAGCGCCAACAAGCGCTCCGTCCCAGCCGTGTGCGTCACTTTTTAGTGTCCCCAGGTTTCCTTTGAGTTTTGAGCTTCTTGCAGCGTTTTTTTATTGCAGTTTTGTATACCCAGCGCTTTTAGTAAACGCTGCGCATGTGATGTCAAGTTGGTGAGATGTTTCTTCGTTTGGATATGTTTTGGCAAATTAGTGTTTTTATATTTGCATCGTTTCTAAAGCTGCAGCATGTTTTTCCAAGTAGAAATGTTTTGTGCCGTTGTTTTGCATTTTCACCTGTTGAACTAAATGGCACAGCATATATTCATCAATGAGTCTGCTTCAGGTTTGTAAGTAGTTAATCCAACAGATTGTGTAACAGATGCGATTACTTTCCAGTTGCCATGCATGCTACGTGCATTAATCTACCCATATGTATTGGCATTTTATTCTCATAAATACAAAAAAAGCCAGGCAAATATGTCATTTTAATACCAGGTTTGCACAGGAGTGCAGTATGCGTTTGTTGTTTGGAGTATTTGTGGATTAGCTTGATATCCACTCAGTTCCCACATAATTAGGTACATGTGGCAATACAGTTTGATACAACTCCTGCAATAAATAATACCTTCATAAATGTTCAGATTTAATTTTTAGAATAGTAGTAATACAATATTTTGAGGCCTGTATTGTTGTGCTGCTGAATTGCATCTGTTTAATTAATGTTTATTATACTTAGTTTTTCCTTATTTATATAACTTGGGTGTCTTAGCTATTGAATGTTTTTGCATTATATGCAATATAGACATTTTGTAGTAATAGTAATATCTTGATATATTTCGCAGGCAATTTAATATCAGTAAAGTAGCAGCAGTTGATGTGGATTATGTATTTTTTCCAAAAACCCAACTATACTGGCTTCTGACCAAGCACATTGCTCCCTTAAAGATGAAGGAACACTTGGTTTGCAAAAGGCATCACAGTTTTAGATATTGCACCCTTCTCTGCATCCTGTTTAGTTTAGTCACGTTTAGTTAATAGCAACATACTGATATATATAACACGATCACGATGCATTTTGTGAATTGAAGATGCATGCGCTGAAATGCCACTGAGGTAAAAAGGTCATGAGGCATCAACTTTAACTCAATTTCATGAAAACATTCAAATCAACAGCAAAAATGTGTATCTGCAGTTACTGTAGTTTCACATTTGTATAGTAGACGGTTGATGTAGAGCTCAAATAGTGTTTTGTAGTCTATTGTGTTTCATGAGAATGCTTGCTTATATAATCCCCCTGAGCATGGGAAACACAAGTGCATTTTCAATAACAAAAATATTAGAAACATGTAAAAATTCCTCTTTAAATTCAATTTCTTCTCTATGTACAAAAACACCTGTCGGACGGTCACCAATGTGGGATTTACACAATATATTATTTCCTCCGTTATTTCCTCTCATTTGGTCCAAACGCTTTTGACCAAAAGATTCTTCGTCCTCTTGGCGTTTTCATGAGTATGTGGCTTCACGAGGGCTCATCCTCTCAGTCAGGCCCCTGTGAGTATGTGGCTTCACGAGGGCTCATCCTCTCAGTCAGGCCACTGTGAGTATGTGGCTTCACGAGGGCTCATCCTCTCAGTCAGGCCCCTGTGAGTATGTGGCTTCACGAGGGCTCATCCTCTCAGTCAGGCCCCTGTGAGTATGTGGCTTCACGAGGGCTCATCCTCTCAGTCAGGCCCCTGTGAGTATGTGGCTTCACGAGGGCTCATCCTCTCAGTCAGGCCCCTGTGAGTATGTGGCTTCACGAGGGCTCATCCTCTCAGTCAGGCCACTGTGAGTATGTGGCTTCACGAGGGCTCATCCTCTCAGTCAGGCCACTGTGAGTATGTGGCTTCACGAGGGCTCATCCTCTCAGTCAGGCCCCTGTGAGTATGTGGCTTCACGAGGGCTCATCCTCTCAGTCAGGCCACTGTGAGTATGTGGCTTCACGAGGGCTCATCCTCTCAGTCAGGCCACTGTGAGTATGTGGCTTCACGAGGGCTCATCCTCTCAGTCAGGCCACTGTGAGTATGTGGCTTCACGAGGGCTCATCCTCTCAATCAGGCCCCTGTGAGTATGTGGCTTCACGAGGGCTCATCCTCTCAATCAGGCCACTGTGAGTATGTGGCTTCACGAGGGCTCATCCTCTCAATCAGGCCACTGTGAGTATGTGGCTTCACGAGGGCTCATCCTCTCAGTCAGGCCACTGTGAGTATGTGGCTTCACGAGGGCTCATCCTCTCAATCAGGCCCCTGTGAGTATGTGGCTTCACGAGGGCTCATCCTCTCAGTCAGGCCACTGTGAGTATGTGGCTTCACGAGGGCTCATCCTCTCAGTCAGGCCACTGTGAGTATGTGGCTTCACGAGGGCTCATCCTCTCAGTCAGGCCACTGTGAGTATGTGGCTTCACGAGGGCTCATCCTCTCAATCAGGCCACTGTGAGTATGTGGCTTCACGAGGGCTCATCCTCTCAATCAGGCCCCTGTGAGTATGTGGCTTCACGAGGGCTCATCCTCTCAATCAGGCCACTGTGAGTATGTGGCTTCACGAGGGCTCATCCTCTCAGTCAGGCCACTGTGAGTATGTGGCTTCACGAGGGCTCATCCTCTCAATCAGGCCACTGTGAGTATGTGGCTTCACGAGGGCTCATCCTCTCAATCAGGCCCCTGTGAGTATGTGGCTTCACGAGGGCTCATCCTCTCAATCAGGCCACTGTGAGTATGTGGCTTCACGAGGGCTCATCCTCTCAATCAGGCCCCTGTGAGTATGTGGCTTCACGAGGGCTCATCCTCTCAGTCAGGCCACTGTGAGTATGTGGCTTCACGAGGGCTCATCCTCTCAGTCAGGCCACTGTGAGTATGTGGCTTCACGAGGGCTCATCCTCTCAATCAGGCCACTGTGAGTATGTGGCTTCACGAGGGCTCATCCTCTCAGTCAGGCCACTGTGAGTATGTGGCTTCACGAGGGCTCATCCTCTCAGTCAGGCCACTGTGAGTATGTGGCTTCACGAGGGCTCATCCTCTCAGTCAGGCCACTGTGAGTATGTGGCTTCACGAGGGCTCATCCTCTCAGTCAGGCCACTGTGAGTATGTGGCTTCACGAGGGCTCATCCTCTCAGTCAGGCCCCTGTGAGTATGTGGCTTCACGAGGGCTCATCCTCTCAGTCAGGCCACTGTGAGTATGTGGCTTCACGAGGGCTCATCCTCTCAGTCAGGCCCCTGTGAGTATGTGGCTTCACGAGGGCTCATCCTCTCAGTCAGGCCCCTGTGAGTATGTGGCTTCACGAGGGCTCATCCTCTCAGTCAGGCCCCTGTGAGTATGTGGCTTCACGAGGGCTCATCCTCTCAGTCAGGCCCCTGTGAGTATGTGGCTTCACGAGGGCTCATCCTCTCAGTCAGGCCACTGTGAGTTTGTATATTTCTCTCTTTCTTTCCCACTAAAGTCTAAACCCATTTGGGGTGAGAGAAGGTGATGTTGTACTGCTTCGCCCAGCGGCCAAACACTTGTTTCTCCGTGATGAAGCGATGGTGGTTCCCTCTGCGCCCCCCCTCATGCTGCAGGTACGTGACACACTCATCCGGCCCCCTGGGCTTGTAGTAGTGGTAGGGCATCTTTTTGGCTGGAGGTTTAAATTTTCTAGAAAAATGTAAGGTTTTATTAATGAGTTGAACAACCAGATTATTAGTGATGTTCTAATTGTGAAGCAAGTACTGCATTGTTACCAACAATGTACTTACCCACAATGATTGGGTGGGACCATCCCATACACTTTGATACTATCACAAAGCTCGATGGCAATGACCATAGTGAACCAGCCTGTGCTCAGCCAGGAGTGAGATTTCTGTCTGAGCAGAAGAAAACAGCAAAACAATCTGTTAGTGAAATCTACCCAATATGGGGCTGGAAAAGATATACCACCATGTTGTGACCAAATATCGCAATGATATTGTAGGGTTGTTCATTGATGCGTTCACAACAAATGACACAATGACAATTTTTATAATCATCAATACTAGCAAATTAATTACTTAAAAACCTCAAAAAAGTTGCAAAAATAATATTTAAAATTGCAATATAATGAGAAACGCCCTCAAAACATGACATAATAGTGCAAAATAATGACTTGGTATCTCAAAACAAGGACACACTTTCACCAAATATCGTAAAAGATAATCTTCGTATTAAGCCATTAAAAGACATCATCCAAATAGCAAAATAATGATTTAATTTCACCAAATATTGACTAGAAATTGGAAAATAACAACTTAGTTTCTCAAATTATGGGAAACATCTTTCAAATAATGACTGAATTTAGCAAAAATAATGGATACATGGATAATGTATCTGGCTCTACAATAACCCACATGAAACCTGATCCCTCTGCTCAGTGAACCCTCACCTGTCCCGCCCGGTCTCCCGGTGAAACAGGCTGTCGAAGCGGCGCATCTTGCTGGCGGTGATGCTGAAGCAGGACATGTTGCTGTAGGTGGTGCTGACCCTCTGGATCAGCCGGTACAGGGTCCCTTTGGCGTCCTTCCCCATCTTGTTGGGGGGTCCCCAGAAGATGATCACGGGGCTGCTGTCGGGCCTGTGCAGGAACTCGCTTGGCCTGCGGACCACCCTGAACACGCTGGAGTGGGCCACCACCCTCAGAGACGTCTGGTTCCCCACGTCCGCCTCGAAGCCCAGCGTGGGGGCGTCGTTCATCCGGATCACACACTGCGCCCGGTCGATCTCCGCCCCGGCTCGACTCCCCAGGACGTGGCTGGAGCTCGTCACCAGAGCACAGCTGCCACAGTGCAGACTCATCGTCTGACGGGAAGAGACACAAGAGTGGATCAACTTATAGTTTAGCAAAAATATCGACTTAATGACACAAAAGAAATGATGAAGAAGAACCTCAAAAATAATGAGAAACTTTCTCAGAAATAACTAAGTATTGCACAATGTTTTGAATTTGTGGCATTAATTAATGCATTTTTATTGCAAAAATAATGACTTGGTGTTGAAAAATAATTACTTAATATTGCAACAAAAAACTTGTATCATCTTAATAAGTAACAGTTCCCAAGAAGAACTTTAAATAACTCTTCGTGTTGAAATACTAAGTCATTGTTTGGAGTACAATGTTTTTGCAGTGCTCAGCTGGCTTCTTATAGCTTCATATTAAACTGGTTGACATAAGTTGTTGTGTGTTATTATGAGATATGATAAATGAAAGCAGAATGTAGCTGGTTTGGAGAGGAACAGTTCACCTTGTATTTCACAGTGTTTACTTTGAGTGACTCATCTCTTAAAGTTCTTGATTTCGAATAATTCCCTGTAATGTCTTACATAAGCTGCAGTTGCCCACTGTTTAGGACAGGGGTGTCAAACTCAAGGCCCGGGGGCCAAATCCGGCCCGTGACTTCATTTTATGTGGCCCCACAAGAGCTTTTAAAGAATATAATATGTTTATTATATGGTTACATGCCGATTTACAGAAGCGTTGCCCATAAACTACATGTCCCACAATGCATCTCAAATTGGACTTTTTCTCAGAATTTGCCTTTTATCTTAGAATTTGACTTATTTTTCAAAATGTTACTTTTTCCCCAAAAATTATTTTTAAAAACTTTTTTTCCAGAATTTGGCTTTTCTTTTTAGATCATTTTGTGACATTCTCACTGAAGAGACTTGCAATTATTTGCCCTATACTTCTTCTTTCAGATGTAGTTAATTATGAAGTTATTACCCTATCCGATAATAATCCAATGCCGAGGCAATAATGTAATATATAATACATTATTTTATATATATTAAATATTTATATATGTATTTTTATATAGTCTTAAAGTTACAACCGGCTCTTTGAGTGCGACCATAATGCTAATGTGGCCCGTGATGAAATTGAGTTTGACAGGATTAGGAAGTCTGTGCGTCTTTTTGGAACAATGCACCACATCCTTTCTGTTTCTTTACTGACTTCCTGAGTTTTGAACATGCTCCGTGCAGCAGCAACATTTCCCTTCTTTTGCATTCTTCTCTGATACTTATTGTGGATTTCCACGTCATAAAACACATTTCTTTGTCCGTGCATGAGCTGTTGAGTACCTTGTTCCCATGGAATGGCACATATCCGTCTTTCCCAGACCACTTCTTCAGATCTGTGGCCTTGATGGCCTTATTTATAGCCAGATGTAGCGGAGAGTAGATGTTATCGTTGACATTGTTGGAGCCATAGAGGATGAGGAGTGTCATCAGGACGAAGATGGCTGCGAAGATCACCAGCCTGTGGCTCTGCTGCCCCTGAGGAGTAAACAACAGAGTTAACGTGTCATCTAAAACTTAATTTGACCGACATTTTTTATCAACACTATGCTTCTGATCCACTGGTTTCAGAGGGAATTATTTGATTGTTTTGTCAACAATTATTTTTAATAGCTGTAATTAATTTAGGACTTTACATTTTACAAAGAGAACAATTTGGAGCTTATTAAATATAATGTATTTTGTAAAATAAACGAATCAACACTATAGGCCTACTGAAAAAAAGTCTCACTATGGTTTCAACTTGGTCTGAGGGCCACACCCTGCTCTTACCTTTGCACTGAGCTTGAGTCCCATGCTGTCAGATCAGGCTGTGTTCCAACACACTGCCAGTGACTGTCTGTCATCATATCTGAAATATGGACAAACATGAGATGCTGCTGTACATTCAAATCCAATCATGCGATGAGTCCACCGTTGCCCTAACACTATATTATTCAGTATTATGGCGATGCTCCAACAAAAACAAGCACAGTTATTCACTTAATGTATGCTAATTGCAGTACAAATCCTATACAAATCTATATGTTACATGCTTTTACCTTAAACCCCATTAATACAAGGCCATTATTATATTGTAGAAGAAAAGGACACATCATACGCAGCCATATTTCCCAACGGCTGTTGACGAACATGCACTGAGATGATTTTAGTGTTAAACAACACCCCGCTGATAGGATTCACTATGATCCGCAGCGACATGTCCCATGTCCGATGGACAGCTGTCTTTAATCCGTACTTTACCGTCTCATGCTCCCGGTGTGTCTCCGTGTGTGATGTCTCTCTGCTCTGCCTCGCGCCCCCATCTTCCTGCGCCACTAGCTGACGTCATCATCACGTATCTCACTGCAGCAGTGTGTGGACTTTTAATGAAAGAAAAAATATCACATTATGTATTCTCAAGGGTGTAACTTTGGTTTGAGAAGTGGGAGGGACACAAAACAGGAGGTCCACCGCAATGAAACATTGTTCTCGATTTAATTCAATTTCCTGCCTTTCTACAAATATATTGGGGACTATGGTGTTAAAAAACCAAAAAAAAAGTGTAGTGTATATGAGAAGATTTTTGTCTTTAAATTGAAGTTGAATGCATCAATCTGGTGCACTTTGAGAGCAAAATTAAGAGATTTATGGATGCAGCTCTCAACACTCATATGAAACAGAACTGTATATATTTAAAAACACCAAAAACCATTAGAATATGCTCACAACCAAAAACACATTTACTCCTCTCTCCTCTCTTTATCTTACCTAGTCTGCATATTTTACTAATCACTCCCCTTTTAAACTGTGTTTTTGATTTTTTACCGACATTGGAATGATTTCTTAACTTATTTTGAACAACTATATATTAAATAGATGGAAATATTTGTTTACATAGATGTCCAAACCGTTTGAGACCCACTGTGATAACTTAGACTAAAGTTTACAAGTGTATTCTTATAAACATGCAAACATGTTCACACTAAGGGTACACATAATAACTAAAGGTGATACAGATTCAAGGAATACAAATGTGTTGTTTCATGTTTCACACTGAGGGTACACAGAATAGGTCAACATATATTTAAAAACAAATCATAAAATAATACATCTCTAAGAAAAGTTGATACAGATTAAAAATATTTTTTAAATATTGCCTTCTTATTCATATGTATTTTTGTATTCATGGTGCCATTATGATGTAGTCCAACATTTGGTTTAAAGTCTGTCTATTCTTATGGATGTGGAATGTTCCTATAAATAAAATTAACTGTTTATCAAACATTCATTTTTCTTTTCCATCATCTCCTTGAAAGTATATAAACATATTTAGCGTGTATGTGTCTGTATATATAGGCTCAAAATGTTAGCATTCATTTTCAAACATCTACTAAACCCTTGGTTTGCATCACAATTAGAAAATGAATGCAATTTGAAGGCACATTTGACATAAACCTGTGCGAAAAATGAAATGGAATATTAAAAGAATCCATTAAAAATACTATAATAACTGACAACATTATTAATGGAATATGGTCAAATAATAAGGGTTATATTTTCAGCATATGACAAAGTGTAGACCCTACATCACATGTGTCAAACTCAAGGCCCGGGGGCCAAATCCGGCCCGTGGTGGATTTAATTTCGGCCCGCAGGATAATTTTTAATTACTATTAGATCTGACCCGCCGGTATATTGCACGCACACCTTCACTCCATCCTGAGGGTCTCCTCAGCTCAGAGCCTGAGCCCAAACATTGATGAGCTTGCACCCAAGATGAGATGCCAAGTATCTGAGCTAGCGTCACAGAGCAGCACACTGAGTTCAATGGATGTTTTCTTCTGCACTTTTTCTCTCACGACAACAGGGCATGTTTGGTTTTCTCTTTGAGGGGAATAGTTTTGTTGAAGCTGTTGTTGGCCTGTGGGAAAATGTAATCATAAGAAATGACTGGAAAAGCTGCAGATAGAGCCATAAGAAATGAATGCAACTGATTATTTAATGTTTAATGTTGTTTTTATAGGTAATAATTTGAGCTTTCTTAGTTCCAGGTTTAATATGTGCAGTAAGTTCATTTCAATAGGTTTTGCAATAGACATTGAACCAGTCCGGCCCTCCACTAGTACCCATTTTTTTATTTTGGCCCACTGTGTATTTGAGTTTGACCCCCCTGCCCTACATAGTCTCCTCAGTGAAAACAGCTTGTCCTTAAACTGAACTCATGATACAATTCAAAATGTCTGAAATAAAGACTTCTTGTCTTTAACCTCATACAAAGACAAGCTCTCACAGACTGTCAGCAGATTTATTCACATTGACACCAATATCTGCAGTAACCAGTGGTTTAGTTTACATTCAGGTTCGTACTTTGTACACCTCACAACACAAGTCTACTTAACACAAATCATCAATAAAACGTTTTAATTCAAACAACTCCTGTCTGAAATGTACCTTACAGAAGAACACAGTAGTTTGCACAGTAGTATAAATACTTATATGGTCTTTGGAATTGGTCACAAATAAGCGTTATGTGACTGAAAAGGCAGCGCTATGTTTTTCACTGTAAACAACCAGCAGAATATATAAAGGGTGAAGGTGGATGTAACTCATGTTGTGTTTATGGTAGTGGACCAATTACATTCAAAGTTTCAAAAGACACTAAACGGGGTCTTCATACCCCTGAAACACAGATAATACACACCAAGCACAACGATCTGTGTGTACTATCCATTGAATACTGTTTGTTGGCCTTTTATTGTAAACTATCTGTGAAGAGTAACCTCTGCAGAAACATGTACTGCTCGTCAGTTACATCGAGCCGCTGTGTCCTGTCACTGGTGTTAACTGCAAAATCTCTCTTTGGGTTAAACGGCACTGGAAATATCTAGACACTGCTCACAAAACACAAGTTAAATTAAAAGCTTAAGACTTAAAGCATTAAAACCCTGAAACTATGTGCACTCAAGGCAAGTTGCAAGTACAATTTGAACAGTTTTGAAGCGCATTTAAGATACCAAAACCAACTGTGTTAACATTGTTATAAATGCAAGTTTACAGAATTATTTTTAAATTCTGAATTTTCTGTGTAATATTACGTGTGACTTTCACAACTAATTGTGCAGTTGAAACACCACATTAAGTTTTAAATTCCAAATTCAAGCATATACCTAGCCTTTGAAAATCAGCAACTTCTTTGGGAATTAATCATCTTTGAGATCATTATTTAGGCAAACATTTAAAAAGAACTCTCCAGTTCCAGTTAACAATTGTCTTTGTTTTCTGCTTTTCTTTGTCTTTTATGACTGTAAATTGGCCAAGGTCATTTCAAATGTAAACTTGAGTTCTGGTACAATGTGCTTCTGTTGACCTTTTTTAAAAACAATTTTTAGACAATTTTGACCGAAACATGAAACGATTAATTGAGATAATAAGTGCCAGATTAATCAAAAGCTGCAGCCCTAAACAATACACTTCCTGTTTCCTAGAGTAGAGGTGCAAGTTGAAGCTGCAGCATACAAAAACGTTTTGCAAAATTAAATAAAAAGTCAAGGCACAGGTATGACGAAATGAAAACTGTAAGCTTTGGTATAAACTGGTTTTAGTATCTAGTTTAGTGGCTTAGTTTTCAGTTTCTATACTGATATATGGCTATACATAATGGTAAGTAATACTGAGAGTGGGTTACCAGTTGAATGCCGGGACATCTGGAGCATTATTTCACCATCCACCATCAAATGGAACTTTTAGTGGTAAAAATGCAACATTTTAGAAAACAATCTTCAGCAAGGAAGATTAAAAGCCAGCAAAAGTCATCTTTAAGACCTTTTTTAGAGGCTCCATGAGGGGTGTTTAAACTCCATTTTGTGCCGTGTTGCCCATTTAGCGTAGATGGCCTTCTCGGTGATGAAGCGATGACCCCCCCGCTGCGTGTTCTCGTGGACCTTGTACATCCGACACTCATCCACTCGGTTCCTCTCGTAGTAATGGTAAGGAACAGTGCTGTGATTGGCTCGACTGTCGGGAGGAGTTCACAGGTCATTTAGGATACGTAGAATAAGATGAAGCTCCAGTATTGATCATACAAGAATGTAAAATGTCTCACCTGCAGTAGTTATTATCAATCATTCCATAAACACGGATGCTGTCACACATATCTAAAGCCAGAATCATGGTGAAGAATCCGGTGCTGAGAAACGCCCCGGTCTTCATTCTGAGGGAGAAACCAAACATGTGTTCTTAAAAGACCCGTAAATTAACATAATAAAAACCACACAAAGGCTAATCTTTTACTTATGTCAGGTAAATTCATTGCAGGTGTGAGAATATTAATGATCGGCTCAAAATAATGTTAAAAACAATTATCTCCAATCAAATAACATACATTTTTTGGACTGAGACATCAAACTCATTCTGTACCTGTTCTTTCCGGTTTCATTCTGAAACACACTGTCACAGTACTGGATCTTCTCCCTGGTCACAGCGTACAGTTTGACTTTTGGATACTTCTCGGCTATCTTCAGCAGAGAATTAAAGACCCTTCCTTTCCCGTCCTGCCTCATGTTCCTCTCAGGACCCCAGAACACATACGTGGTGTCGGCCGACTGCTGGAAATATTGGCGCTCGTTTTTTACCAGCAGGGGAACACTGGTGTGAGAGACGACCCGGACGCTGGTGCGACCCCCCACGTCTCTCTCGTAGCCCCCCGTGGGGGCATTGTTCATCCGGATCACACAGGGCACTTTGTCAATCTCTTCTCCAGCGCCGGCTCCGATCATCTGACCCGAGCTGGAGACCAAGGCACACTGGCTGCAGTGCATGTAGAGGAACTGTTGAGGACCAGGACAGGATAATCAAAATTAGAAGTCCTATTTTAAGCGTCTTTGGGTTCAAGAAAAGCGCTATAGAAATAAAATATATTATTATTATTATTATTTACAGTGACAACAGCAGATAGACAGCACAAATGAAAGGCAAAACAAAATTAAGTATAAAATCAAATAAAAATACATCCATGGTAAACAAATCAGTGGCAGTGTTATGAAAGAAAGTGAAGTATCAGTAAGTGAAAAAAACCAATACAACCTAAAAATGTTGTTTTAGATTTACACATATTAGTACATTCATAAATTCATTGACATTCCCTCTCTTTGTTTCTTATCCTATATCTAATAGAACTGCTCGGGTCTTGATAGATTGAGTGGGGAAGTTCATGAGATCTTTCTAGAGGGTTATCAAGAATAACTTGTATCCAATGACCTTTTCCCTCTCTGTCTGTGTCTGTGTATTATCTTTGTTCTTGTTTTGTATCTATATCTACGCCGGGATCCGGAGTCGAGGCTGATCCTCTTGCTGTAGTCCTGTGTCTTGGATCCTCTATCCTGAGTTCTGGATTAAGTCGTGGACTTCGGGTCGTGGCTGAACCTGTCTCTGCGGTCCTGCCTTGGGTCTCGTCATGCTGCTTCCCTGATGGCTTCCACAGGATTGTAGCTGACATCCTCGTGGATTCATCTTCTTATTACAGACACATGCATTTCCTAACATTCGGTCTATATGCTGTAAAATGTATTATCTCTTCGATTTACACACGGCATCTATTGCACGTCTGTCCGTCCTGGGAGAGGGATCCCTCCTCTGTTGCTCTCCCTGAGGTTTCTCCCATTTTTTCCCTTTAAACTGTGGGTTTTCTCTGGAAGTTTTTCCTTGTACGATGTGAGGGTCTAAGGACAGAGGGTCTAAGGACAGAGGGCGTCGTTTTTCTCATACTGATATTCTGAACAATCTGTGCTGTTGTATTTGCTGTAAAGTGTCTCTACTGTAGGCTATTTTTATTATATGTACAGCACTTTGGCTCAACCAAAAATCGTTTATAAATGTGCTATATAAATAAAACTTGATTTGATAAATCTAATCTACTACTAGCATATCTCAGTATTTATTCTGCCAGAATTACATCTGTATGAATATTTCTGACTATGAGACCTAGCCTGTGACTTGTTGTCATGGTTAAAGAAGGACTCCGATAATTTTCTCAAGTACAAGTACTATTACTACACTGTACAAATACATCTGTAAACACTGGAGACATGTGATCGGCAGGATTGATGTTGAGACCGAGTTCCAACCGGCAGCTTGGCAGGGGTTTCCTTTTTTTAAATAGTCTGTGGATGTGCGTCTCAGAACTAACAAAACGAGCTATGACTTGGACTAAGACCAGTGGCGGCCGGTGGAAAATATGTTTGGTGGGGCTGTTGATATAGTGAGTAAAACATTTTTTTTGGGAGAAATTACCCCTTAAATTAGGACTTCTGGTGATGTAATGGCGCGTTTCCAGTGCAGCGCGGAGCTCGCTTTAATGCTGCGTTCAGACCGGACGCGATGCGAATATTCGCTTCGCTCTAAACGCTCCTATCGCATCGCTCTAGTCGCTCGAGTTTCACCGCGGCTGCCAGCTGTGTTTACTCGCATCATTCAAACAAGACGCGCTGGCTCGGGAGCTACAACTACAACAAAATGAACATATTTTACCGTGATTAAATTGTAATACACGTTTCTAAATGATGCCGACGTAACAACATACTGATACCGGTTAGTAAAAACCATGAATTAATGCTTTGACAAGTCTGCAGACAGACGGCAGGCGAAAAACCTTTTAGAATGCTTGTTTTCTGAATGGAGCTTAGCTAAGCTAACGTTATATATGTTCCGACCGTCCACACTCACAACAACGGCCTATACAGACATAAATAAACCAGCGACTGTATTCTCCATGACACAGACAGTCTGTGGTTTGTACTTGTTTAACTTTTGTCTAGTTTCTGAACAGATCGTATCTGTCCCAGGCTGTTTGAAGAGCAAGCATGGGAAACAAAAGATAGCATTTACCTGTTTGCATCGTTTGCATCCAGCTAGCCTCGTTGATACGTTTTGTCTTTTTCACGAGCTTGCTGTGATATATACAAATCGGGTTGGTCCGGTCCAAGGTCTTTAAGTATCAATTTATCTCCCAAACTTCTCCTTTGGAAAGGATTGGAGAGTAGCTCTTGCACGGAATTGGGTGAGGACCGAGGTCCGGCGACTTCACCTGCACACCATTCTAAATACTGCGTCACCTTGGTCACTCACGAGTCTAAAAAACAACTCACGTCAACGCACGTAAGCAACATGGGCGCCAACCTGAGCGCCCTCGTGACCAAAATATTTGACGGCGCTGATTGGTTGAAATTATGTTTCGGCGGCACAGTTTACTATTGAGACTTTTGTATGGGCATAGATATGTCTCATAATTATTTGTGTGAACATACAAATAATTTGTGTGTAAATATGTGATTTATAAATGTAAAACAACATCCACAAATGCATTTAAAAGATTTGCAAACTCACAAATACATTTGCAAGTGTAAAACGGATCTGCAAATACGCTAAATATGTTCACAAATAAAAAAAAGATCTGTGAATATCTCTTTAACATTTACACCTTTCGATCAGGCATTTGTAAATCCATTTTGTATTTGTGGACCAAAAATGCGCTTGCGGATCTCAAATCTCTGTTCACGGATCTCAAATCTCTGTTCACGGATCTCAAATCTCTGTTCGCGGATCGTCTTTTTACACACACGGAATTTTGAGACATATTTTCCGCCGGTCTCGGCTAAAATCTACTCGTGTCACTCGGTTATTTTTCGGAAACCACGTGATGGCCTGCTGATGGCGACATTTCCGCATGATTTCAAAGTAAGCATGATGGTTTGTTTAATGCTCTGTTTTTGTATTATAATGAACAGTGGAACGTTAGATACATTCATCATCATCATCATGTTATAGTGATACAGTTAGTTTGTGTTATTGGTTCAATATAGCATATATCGAGCACTTTCGTTGATGTTGAAGTGCAGGCTATAGCCTACGCCACTTTCGGGTCCCGGGGGAGCAGCTGGCAGCGAAGCAGCCCAGATAAAACTCTTTCTTCATTGTTTGTTGTGTATTCAGTCAAGCGGGTCGAAGTTACAAAGCACTTCACATTTTATTAATTGGCCTAATTTTACCTTACCAGTGCAGTAATAAAGTAATCTGTAGAAAAGCACCGTATTTAGGTCAGGGTTATGGTGATGAAGAATACATCCAACGTTCCGCTGTTCATTATAATACAAAAACAGAGCATTAAACAAACCATCATGCTCTTACTTTGAAATCATGCGGAAATGTCGCCATCAGCAGGCCATCACGTGGTTTCCGAAAATAACCGAGTGACACGAGTAGATTTTAGCCGAGACCGGCGGAAAATATGTCTCAAAATTCCGTGTGTGTGAAAAGACGATCCGCGAACAGAGATTTGAGATCCGTGAACAGAGATTTGAGATCCGCAAGCACATTTTTGGTCCACAAATACAAAATGGATTCACAAATGCCTGATCGAAAGGTGTAAATGTTAAAGAGATAATCACAGATCTTTTTTTTAATTTGTGGACATATTTAGCGTATTTGCAGATCCGTTTTACACTTGCAAATGTATTTGTGAGTTTGCAAATCTTTTAAATGCATTTGTGGATGTTGTTTTAAATTTACAAATCACATATTTACACACGAATTATTTTTATGTTCACACAAATAATTATGAGACATATCTATGCCCATACTTTTGCAACGTGCTGGTTGCTGCTATTTGTCTCGGGGGCTCCGCCCGGTAATGATAAACTAATGCCATGGGCAAGGCCAGGCAGGAAACATGTGTGACTTATCAGTAACTTTAGACATCGTAACACCATTTTAAACGAGATTTTATTGTAGATTATACATTTTACTGATACCAATTGTATGATATTTACCTTGTTCATTAAATAAAAAAAAATATATATATTTAAAAAAATAAATAATTTAATATATATTTTTTAATTACATTTTTTTTTTTTAATGTGGGAAGAGGTGGGGCGGCGCCCCTAGCGCCCCTATGGGCCGGCCGCCACTGACTAAGACCCTAACGGATGTATTTTGTGAGAGATGTATTTTGTCCTCTCACCTGGTCCTTCTGGCTGGGGCCGATCCTCCTGTAGCCCTGGAGCCCGTGGCCCTGCAGGGCGGCCGTCGGACCGTCCCGTGTGAGTACATGCCAAAACCAGATCAAGAGAGGAAGGCTCAGGCTGAGCAGGCCGAGCCAGCGGAGCATCTGAGGGGACGAGAGGGAACGTGTTGAGGAGGTTCATCTGGAAGGAGCCTACCGGACATCCAGCTCATGTTTCCATACAAGAAGTACTCAGATCTTTCACTTAGGTAGGCCTTAAAGTAGTAATTATCACAATGTAGAAATACTCTGTTAATTAGTTGAATAAGTAAATGTACAAACGCATTGTACTCAAAATGTACATGAATGACAAAAAAGATCGTCACTTTCATGCAAAAATATTTCACAGATGATTGGATTTGCAGCCTTTTTTGATAATTATTTTCTCTTACAAAAGTGAGACAAAACAACCATAGGGCATGTGCCCCTTTGGGTTATTCATTTATTTTTCTCTTTCTGATTAACAAAATTAAAATGACAAATTACAGTATTATTAGAATGTATGCATTAGTGTGTAAGCATCACTAATACTGCAGCTGCAAGGTGGAGCTCATTATAATTACTTAATACTGTTTAGCATTAAAATAAACTAGTACAATTAAAATTATCAGATAAATGTTGTGCAGTAAAAAGTACAATATTGGCTTACAGTAGTAGAAATAGTCCTATAAGGAGAACAAATAAACACTGGGACACCTTACACTATCTGCAATATATTCAGTAAGTGTTCTTTGTTTTGAGTACACACATACATTAAATAACCGGCTTGTACCCATGCTTGTACCTGATATTTCATATTAAGGCCCAGGCTGCGATAGCTCCGCTCCAGAGAGCCCTAGCGAACTCATTTTCGCAGCCGATTAACTCGAGGCAGAAGCGGCAAGAAAGACAAGCCTATCCGCGGAGGAGTCATGATCAAACAAATTCATATTTACAGATTTTAATGGCCGCTCCCGGTCTATTTTCCACTACAAGATCATTTTCTTGTCAGGTTAACCTTCATCCCCAGGCAGATAAACACTTTCACTACTGTTGTTTCATCGATTGCATGTTGGAATGAATTGTTATCTTAAAATACGTCCAGTTTTGTTACCGTTACAGTGCCTGCCTGATAAACATTTTCTCTGTGCAGAACAAGGCTTCCGGGCCTACCTTTCAAAATAAAAGTGTCACCTGAGCCCATAAAACAACAAAATACTCAACAACAACAACGTGGCCTAGAATTATACATTTATCTGTTTGCATATTCTCACCTTTTTATACATATTTAATAAGCATTGTCAAACATTAGTCAGATAATCACATGCCTGCCATTCATTGGCATTGCAGTTACAGTTATGTTTCGTGGTAATTGTTTATGATATTATATTATGGTATGTTTTATGCTTTCATATAATTTATATTACATTTGATTGTATGTTTTGAAAAATACATGTGGTAAACTTTCCGACAGTTTACCCAGCGAGTTTACCTTGTGAGTTTTACCATTTATCATTCAGGGATGATGCTCTTTGTTCTACGATTTGATTGGTATTTTAAAAAACTTATCCCGCCTCCCTTCCATCCGATTGGCCAAGAAAAAAAGCGAACCTCTATCCTCCTCCTTCCATTGGCTTTGGAATTTGGAACACCGCCCCCTAGCAAAAAGCTAGTGTGCGGCTCTCACTAACTGTGACACAGGAATGCCCTTTCCTGCTGGCGCCTTTAATGTTTACGGTATGTACCTGTGTGATGGATTATGATGTTAGTTACCGCTGGTTAGCTGTACAAAGAGCTGGCGAAGCCTCTGAGATGTCACTTTAAAAGCACCGCTGCTCACTGTGTCCAGTTGACTGGATCATGATGCTGTGATGTGAAGTAACAGATGAGCTAGGCTAGCCCAAAATGCTAGCTAACATTAGCATTTTTGCTCGTGAGATTGAGGGCTTTTTGCCTACTTGTGAGTGCTTTTTTTTAACTTGTCAATAATATTTTTAACAAATACAATACATAGGCTTGCTGTGTATTTGTATCTATTATTTGAATAACGTGGTGGCTGTAATGATTTCTGTTCTGCCTGTATGCTACCTAGTTTCATGTTTGTTCAGCTAGCAACCTCGCTGTTGCTTTTACTTTCTTAATTTCCGATTGCAAACCTCCTGTTTGCAAGTCACTATCACTATGATAGTGACTTGTATTCATTTTCAACCTTTGATTTTTAATTGTAATGTAAAGGCTTACAACATGTTTTTCATTGTCTATTTTACATTGTTATTTTGTCTTCTGTTTCAATTTGCTATGTGAAGCACTTGGGGGCTGCATGATTGTATGAAAGGTGCTATATAACAGAAGAAGAAGTCGATTTTCTTATTGTATTAGTTGGTTTTGCACCAAATAGAGAAAGCCAGCCAGTCTTTCATGTGTAACACCTGGTGTTTGTCGTGTGTAGCAGGTGTGGGGCAGGCTGGTTTACTGGCTGCATACCAGACAGTGTAGATAGCTTAGTAGCTGGCAGAGTGTCAAGTTGCTCGGCTGCTTAACAGTTAATGTAACCTGTTATAAATGCAGCTTTTTGCAGGTTGATTCTGTGTCTTGAGAGTTTTGCCCTGGAGCCAGTACCAAAGTTCCTGTGATGATAAACTGTCTTTTGATTCATCGTCTTAAGCTTTGTAATGTAATCTATCGCTGAAGGAGGAAGCTGCAACAACCTGGTCTTTTCCATAATTCATGTCTTATTAAAGGGCGATAAATCTACAATCGAACATTGGACCAGTGTGGAGCCAAAGCTCGGGGAGTGGATGAGGACAGCCGGTTCATCAGCAGGCCCTGAGCTGGCTGATCTCAGAGCAGAGACAACACCTCTATTAGGGTGAATTTGAAGATAGCTGTGCCCTGAAGGCATTTCCATTTCTAAGATGTCATGCAAACGAGCAGACGGGATGTCCATAGCTCAGGCGTTGGCCATGACTGTGGCAGAGATACCGGTGTTTCTCTATTCCACATTTGGGCAGGTAAAACACATTGCCTCAGTTAAGCTTTGCATATGTACACACAAGCACTTTTCAAAAACCCCAGTAACAATGGCTGAATTTATTTATTTTAGAGCCCTTTATATCAACACCTTATGTTTTCCTCCTCTGCTTTCAGTCCATATTTTCTCAGCTAAAGCTCACCCCAAGCTTGAAGAAGGTGCTGTTTGCCACGGCGCTGGGCAGTGTCGCATTGGCTCTCACTGCTCATCAGCTGAAAAGGCGGGGGAGAAAAAGGAAGCAGGTAACACAAGGGAAGGATGGCCAGAAGACAGTGGGAATACCTGAGGCGCTGATGAAGACAGGAAGACCCTCGTCATTAAAGAGAGGTGTGCTTGACTCAGTGTTTGGACGAAGAGTCATTTTAGAAGTTTAAAACAAATGCTTTGTGGTTGCTGTATCAACATCTATTGAGAATGTTTTTCTCTCCACAGGCCAATTTACTGGCCGACAGATGATGAGTCCCAGCAATCGCAGCAATGACACCATGAGTGGAATTTCTTCCCTGGGCCCAAGCAAACACTCAAGCTCCTCACACAGCCTGGCATCTGTAAGTTTAATTATTTGCAACATATTTGTACATTTTTGCTCACAGTTTTTCCCTTTTCTACATTTTTCTAATATGCCTTTTTTTCTGTCTTGTCTGCTCCTGTCATAGATGCGAGTCCCAAGCTCTCCAAATCAGTCTGCCAATCCGTCCACCCCCTGGGAAGCGGAGCCCGTGGTGGAAGAGTCGGGAGCTATGGAGGATGCAAATGCAGAGAATCTCTATATAATGGGTATCTATTTATAAAGTTGCTCTATTGTACCTCTTAGTATTAATAAAGTACTACTGTTATTGGTGACTATGGTAAAAAACCAAATGCTGCATTGGCACTAGGAGGGACAATATTCAAATGTGCAGTTGGTTTGGATGACTTGTAACATTTGCATCTTGAGTATAATGTTAAAGTCATTATTATGTGGTTTTAGAATAATCTGATAATATTGATAGTTTAACAGCTTTCCCCCCAACATGAATATAATGCAGCATTACTTTTCTGCTGTTGGTAATGTAGAACGAGTCAAGAAAATCGAGGGTTTAATAAGGTTATTGTTGGACTCTTGGAGCCGTAGTGCTGTGGTATTTGGATTAGCCTTCATGAAGAATTTGAATCCTTTGCTCTTTACACCGCACAAACTCAGGTCCCTTAAACCTGCAATTAGCTGCTTTTTTGAAACGAGGATTTGCCCTATTACTGAAACAACTAAGAAGTAACTCCAAACACTGTAACTCTGTTTTTCTGTGCCATTTACAGTACTTTCTATCTCAAACCTTTATTTTCAAGCTCACAAATAAACATATTGCTAAAGTCTTACCACTCTATTGCTTGAAGGGATGGAGCTGTTTGAGGAAGCTCTACGAAAGTGGGAGCAGGCCCTGAATATCCGCCATCAGCCCAGCTCGTCCTCCAGCAACCACAGCCTCGCCCTGCAGGGGGCCGCATGTGCTGAGCTTCCTATGGTAACCAATCTAACAATGATTACCAATACAAACTGCATGAAACTCTTCGACATGGTTGAATTACTTTCCAGCTTGCATACAGACTAGAATTGCATTGTTTAGCTGGGATTTCACCTGCTGTTCTTTGTTGCACATTTCTAATTAATTACAATGAAAGGTAATGTAACTGATCCTGGACTAAAGCCCTTTTTTTTTTACATACAAATCCATGATCTTTACCTGTTTTATGCTTTTCCCTTTTCATTACAGGTTGAATCCCATAATAACGTGTTTGCTGAGAAGTTGGAGACCCTTCTGCACAGGGCCTACCACCTGCAGGAGGATTTTGGCAGCAGTATCCCGACAGACAGCGTGCTAGCAGATTTCGGTAAGTGTCATGTCGGTTTCACATATAAGCTTTAACGATATTATTAATCAAGGGGAACACATTTGGATTACAGGCACAAGTTTGAAGAATAGCTGAGTTTCGATGCAAAAAATAACTTGTTATGGGTCATTATTGCCGTAGGATGATGCAGTCCTGGTGTGTATCAGTAGGAATACCGTTTCTGTTTGTTACATTGGGGCTACACTCTTCATATTCCTGTTTTGACCTGTGTTTCGATTCTTGCCCTGTCAGTCAGAGTTTGTGGTGTTCCTTTGGCAGAGAGTGAAGGAACTCTTATCTTGCCTCAAGTGGAGAATTTCCACAGACTGCACGATGACGATGCCACAACTGTTACCTCCGACGACTCCTTCTTCTCGGCTGCAGAGGTCAGTTCCCAAATAACTGGAATACATTGTAACAGACACTTATTTGTACTTATATTTGTACCAAGTACACTTCACATCCTGTTTTTTTTCTGTCCAGCTGTTTGATGCCATGTCTCTGGAAGGCGTGTACCAGCCCCTGAGGCCTGCAGCTCTCTATGAAGAAGCCTTGTGTCTGGTGCGGGAGGGCAAAGTGCCCTATAGGTCCCTGAGGTAACTGAAGTTTAAAAACTGCAGCTAAAAACTGTATTAGTGCCGTGTTAAATCATGTTTTTTACTTAAAGTGGGTTAAATGTTTGTGTGTAATGTCAAAGGAGTCGCCGGTAGTGACGAACCCACCGATTATTAACCGATTCTGCACTTTTCAATACAAAATCCACTGCACAATACCTACCCTGAATGAACAGCACAAAGAAAAAGTTATCCGTTAGCTGGTGAATAACATAATGGAGCATTTACTGTAGCAGCTAAATACCCAGATATTTCCCTTAGACAAAACAAAAAACGAAGCTAAAGAGTAAACATTGAACTGAGTCATGGCCCCTACAAACATCCACTAGCCAACACAACTAAACACGGGTACATATCACTTATTTCAGCAATCAGAAGAAGAACAAGAGGAAGGGGAATATGACTGTCCTCTGCATGTGTATTCTAGATTCTTCTCTGCTTACACGTTTGCCCTTTCAACTTCATAACAGGATTCTATGTCAGTGTTTCATTGAGCTTCATAGATCTCTCTCTTTCTTTTTTCTCTCAGGACTGAATTACTTGAATGTTTTGGGGACCAAGACTTCCTTGCCAAGCTCCAATGTGTGCGACAAGCATTCCAGGTGTGTTTGAGCTCCTAAACCCTACCAATGTTATACAGATCCTTCTCTTTGTTTGGATTGTTGCAATCATTGTCATAATCCCCTCCCCTTTGTTCAGCCTTTTAAACCCACTTCTAAATGTCGGTCCTTTTCCAACATTGTGGTTATAAATAATCTTCATGAGCTAGGTTAGACATAGCAGTGTTTGGTTCCTGTTCTAATATAGATTGCTTTCTCTTTACTCTCTTTTTTGTTTTGCTGGACCCCCATTCATGATCTCATACACAATGTAATGACACCCTTGTAGAAACCTTGTAGCCAGACTCTAACCTACCTGAGTTTGTAATATGCAACCTTTGTGCAGGTGTAGTCTTAGCACCCATAGGCAGGTAGAGCCAGGGGTCTCAGTTCTGTTGAATTAAGCTTTGGAAAAGTACAAAATATATACATAAAGAAAACATAAATGGATGATAATTTTATCTTTAGAACTTTAACTTTTAAGCTTTGTTCTTCAGTCTCAGGAAAAAAACCAGTTGAATGCATTGACAATTGCAGAGCCGAAGTTACATTACATTACATTTAGCTGACGCTTTTATCCAAAGCGACTTACAATAAGTACATTCGACCAGGAAGACACAACCTTGAAGAAAACAGAATCATATAAGTACATCAGGTTTCATAGAGCCAAACATTTCAAGTGCTACTCAACTGGCTTTAGATAAGCCAGTCCTTTATTAGTATATAAGTGCTTTGTTAATAGTTCTATCGCTCGAAGTGGAGTCGAAAGAGATGAGTTTTCAGTTTGCGCCGGAAGATGTGCAAGCTATCTGCTGTCAATGGGGAGCTCATTCCACCATCTTGGAGCTAGGATAGCAAACTCACGTGTTTTTGCTGATGGGAACTTGGGTCTCCCTCGCAGCGAGGGTGCAGCGAGTCATTTGGCTGATGCAGAGCGTAGTGCACGCGCTGGGGTGTACGGTTTAACCATGTCCTGGATGTACGAAGGGCCAGATCTATTCGCAGCATGGTAAGCAAGTACCAGTGTCTTGAAGTTGGTTCTAGCAGTTACCGGAAGCCAGTGAAGGGAGCGGAGTGGTGTGGGAAAATTTAGGAAGGTTGAAGACCAGACGAGCCGCTGCATTCTGGGTGAGCTGCAGAGGTCGGATGGCACATGCAGGTAGACCAGCCAGGAGGGAGTTGCAGTAGTCTAGGCGTGAGATGACGAGAGCCTGGACCAGAACCTGCGTCGCTTTCTGTGTCAGCTGGGGACGTATCTTCCTGATGTTGTAAAGCGTGTATCTGCAGCAACGGGTTGTAGCAGCGATGTTTGCAGTGAAGGACAGGTTGTTATCTAGGGTCACACCCAGATTCCTTGCAGTCTGAGTCGGGGAAACAACTGAGGTGCCGATGTTGATTGTTAGGTCAAGAGTGGGACAATCTTTTCCCGGAAGGAAGAGCAGCTCAGTCTTGTCAAGGTTGAGCTTGAGGTGATGAGCAGGCATCCACTGAGAGATGTCAGCTAGACAAGCAGAGATGCGTGCAACGACCTGGGTCTCTGAGCGGGGAAAGGACAGAATTAATTGGGTGTCGTTAGCGTAGCAGTGGTATGAAAAACCATGCGGGCTAATGACTGATCCGAGCGAGTTTGTGTACAGGGAGAAGAGGAGGGGACCGAGAACAGAGCCCTGAGGGACCCCTGTAGTTAATTGACAAGGGTCGGACTCAGACCCTCTCCAAGTCACCCTGTAGGTACAGTCTTTCAGGTATGAGGTGAGGAGGGAAAGTGCAGAGCCTGAAACTCCAAGTTTTTGGAGAGTGCGAAGGAGGATCTGATGATTCACCGTGTCGAATGCAGCAGACAGGTCCAATAGGATGATGACAGAGGAGAGGGATGCTGCTTTGGCAGTGTGCAGTTCCTCCGTGACAGCAATGAGAGCAGTTTCTGTGGAGTGACCTGCCTTGAAACCAGACTGGTGCGGATCCAGAAGGTTGTTCTGATGGAGATAACAGGAGAGTTGTTTAAAGACAGCGCGTTCAAGTGATTTAGACAGGAACGGGAGGAGAGAGACAGGCCTGTAGTTTATAACATCTGACGGGTTGAGAGTGGGTTTCTTTAGGAGAGGGTTTACTCTTGCCTCCTTGAGACTGTTTGGAAAGTGACCAGAAGTTAGAGAAGTGTTGATGAAATGGGTGAGAAACGGTAGAATATCAGGAGCGATAGTCTGAAGGAGGTTTGAAGGGATGGGGTCCAGAGGACAGGTGGTAGGGCGGGCAGAGGTAATGAGGGTAAGAACCTCACTTGGAGAGAGAGGGGAAAAGGAGGTTAGTGTGTTGGTGGAAGGAGGGTCTGGTGACCCAGCGGTGAGTAAAGGTGAGTCAGGAAAAGAAGAGCGAATATCATCAACCTTTTTTTCAAAGTGGGTAACAAAGTCGCTTGACAGAAGTGAGGAGGGGGGAGGGGCTTTTGGAGGGTCCAAGAGGGTGGAGAAGATGGAAAATAGTTTTTTGGGATTGGAATAGGAAGATTAGATCTTATCTTGAAAGAAAGTGCTTTTTGCCTGAGAGATCGAAGCAGAGAAAGAGGAGAGGAGAGCCTGATAGGTTAGGAGGTCGTCACGGTGTTTGGATTTCCACCGTTTCCGCTCTGCTGCCCTAAGGACGGTTCTATTAGCACGCAGTGCATCATTTAGCCAGGGAGCAGGAGGGGACTGACGAGCCTGCCGAGATGTGAGAGGACAGAGAGAGTCCAGAGTGGATGAGAGAGTAGAGAGGAGAGTTTCTGCAGCAGAGTTTGGAGGTAGGAGTTGGAACGAGTCCGAGGAAGGGAGGGCTGAGAGCACCGATGAGACAAAGGTAGAGGGGGAGAGGGAACGAAGGTTACGGCGGACAGGTGCAGGATGAGAAGAGATTAGTTTGTTATGTTTGGAAAGGGGTAGAGAGAATGAAATGAAGAAATGATCGGATGTGTGGAGCGGGTTTACAGAGAGGTTAGAAGTAGCCCAGTTCCTTGAGAATATGAGATCAAGGACATTACCAGCTTTATGAGTCGGTGGGGATGGAGACAGTGAGAAAGCAAAGGCGGTTAACAGAGATGTTAGTTCGTCTATCTTCCCTGTCTGGAGGTTGAAGTCTCCGAGAAGTACAGCGGGAGGGCCAGTTTCAGGGATGTGTGAGAGGAGATTATCTAATTCCTCCAAGAAGTCCCCCAAGGCGCCTGGTGGACGGTAGAGAACAACAATGGTTAATTGTATAGGATGGGTTACTGTGACGGCATGGAATTCAAAGGTGGAAGGAGTGAAGTTAGGTAGCTTGAAGAGGGAAAAGCTCCATTTGGGAGAGAGCAGGAGACCAGTGCCACCTCCTCTGCCAGTTGGTCTGGGTGTATGGGAGAAGGAATATGCTGTGGAGAGAGCTGCTGGGGTGGATGTGTTGAATGGAGTAATCCACGTCTTAGGAACAGCTGACTGGCAATTCCACAGGCCACCTGAAACTAGATGTTGGATCTCAGTGGAGCATGTGGGATAGATGAGAGCAGGCCGGTTATAGCGATTAGGAGATACATGGGGCCAGTGATAATTGCGAGAAGACACATGAACAGGAATGGAGAAAATACACATGATTATAGCATGAGGGGCTAGAAAACTAAAGAAAAGAGAAATAAGACACCAGCTCAATCAGAGTAGGATTTGCCTCCCTCGTGACTCCCGCAGGACTCCAATGTCTTTGTCAGTCTTAGAGTCTCCCGCAGGACTCCAATGTCTTTGTCAGTCTTAGAGACTCCCGCAGGACTCCAATGTCTTTGTCAGTCTTAGAGTCTCCCGCAGGACTCCAATGTCTTTGTCAGTCTTAGAGACTCCCGCAGGACTCCAATGTCTTTGTCAGTCTTCGGCTGTCTGACGCTTAAGCGTCAGCTTAAGCTGCAGGAAAGAGCTACCTAAAATGGACGCCTGATTGCTGAGTTCTCACAGCTGTGGGGCCACGCCCCTCTAATTAGTTAACTCTCTACAGCTGATGGGCGACAGTAGACTGGCCCTGCCTATATTGTAATGCAGGCTTGAGTGCCCCTACTGAGACCTGTGTAGCAGGTTTCGCTTGAGCAGATCTGAGATTTAAAATCTCTCAAAAGCGCCGTTTTAGCTACAATAACTACAGAACAATTATACAGAGTAGAATAAATGAAACAGAGAAGTCTAATTAAACAAGAATATAACTTACAGTGGTTGCTGCGTCAATAGTTGAAGCAGAAATGTTTATATGTTGGATGTGTTAAATTCTGTTGTGTTTATCTACAACTACAGCAAATGCCATGTATTACACTTCAAGTCAGAGATTTGTAGAACTCGGATATCTAATGAAATGATGCTTTTCTTTTCAGTTCCTGTTGCTAGATGAAACTCACCGCACATTTTTCATGGAGACCGGGAAGCAAATGATTGCAGGGTTAATGGTGAAGGCAAACAAGGTAAAAACACTACTCATTTACATCTTTACGTTTAAACGGGACAATCTTCTATTTCCGTGGACACATTTGTACATCAGTAACTATTAAGTCTGTGTGTTGTTTGTTGCGTTCACACAGAGTCCCAAAGGCTTCCTGGAGAGCTACGAGGACATGCTGCTCTACACAAAGAGAGAGGAAACATGGCCCGTCACCAAGATGGAGCTGGAGGGTCGGGGGGTGAGTCCTCGCATCATTTATCTCACTGTGTATTGAGTAGTTTACTCAGGGAAACAGGGATACTTTGTCACAGGGTTTATGTAAACTGGCTAACCTGAAATAAACTTTAACTGAAGATCAGCCCACAGTGAGATCACTCTGCACTTTACTCACAGTAAGGCTCATTTTAGAGTCAGGCTGGTGGTGATTCTGTAACTGGCAAACAATCCGTCCTTATTTAAGTGCAACATAATTTATTTACTTTGACTTGCGTTAAATACTTGAGAACAATAACGTTTTCCTAAGAACTTAAAGTGTGTATGTGTAGCCGCTTTCACACCAAGTACTTTGCCGCACTTAGTGCCAGCACTTAGTGCCAGCACTTAGTACCCCCATGGAACTAAGCACAGATCGCATTCACACCGGAATAAGTTCCCTGAGGGAAGACTATGCAAATGAAGCCGCTGACGTCACTTCTTCTTCTTCTGCTTTGGGTTTATTGGCATGGTTTGCAGTTCGCCCAGCCAATCGAAATTGGTACTTTTTCTCCCCAGGATAGTACCACCTTTCTAGCAGGCACTAAACATGGGGGTAAAAGTTCTCGGAACTAAGTTCTCTTTTTGATCTGAACGCAAAATTCCAGGCACTAACAGAACTAAACAGGAAAAGTACGGGTAAAAGTACTCCGGTGTGAACGCCCCTTGTGTATGCTCAAGGCTTTATGAACGTGTCAAATGCATATTCTTTGTCATTAATCATTTGCGGAGTACATTTTTTTAAAGGAAATATTTTCCTGACCAAGTCTGATTTTTAAGAGTGAATCTCTACTTGCAGGTGCTCTCCTATTTTTCTTTTACATGGATCATACACAGAACCATTTTAAGAGGACATATTTGTGGGAATTATTGGGAGAAGCATAATAGGGCCTCTTTAAACAAGAGAAGTAATACGTTAAGTTCAGGTTAAAATTGTGATTACAATCTGTAGATTTGTTTTAACTGGGTAGATCAAACAGACATACTTATTTATGTAACTGTATATAACATATAGTATGACTGATTGACTTGTAGAGTAACATTAACCCAATGTACTGGTGTAATCTCTGCAGGTGGTGTGTATGAACTTCTTTGACATCGTGCTGGACTTCATCCTGATGGATGCATTTGAAGACCTGGAGAGCCCCCCCTCCTCTGTGGTGGCTGTGTTGAGGAACCGCTGGCTCTCTAACAGCTTTAAAGAAACGGTTCATTTAAACACACACATTTACAAACACACACCAATTCCTTGCTTATGCCACCAGATAGTTTCTCGTCACTCAAGTAACATACATGTCTTTTCACATTAGGCCCTAGCAACTGCTTGCTGGTCTGTGCTAAAAGCAAAAAGGCGTCTTCTAATGGTGAGTTTGAGCACATTTAAAGATTATTTAAGGTTTTATTGCATACCTGTTTCTTTCATTTAATAGTTGAGTTTCTCTTCCTGCTCTCCATAGGTTCCTGATGGTTTTATCTCCCACTTCTATGCCATATCAGAACACGTGAGCCCAGTTTTGGCTTTTGGCTTTTTGGGACCGAGGCAACACCTAAGTGAAGTGTGCACTATTTTCAAGGTGAGAGCAAACACAACCAAGAAGAAGCTGAGGTTTTAACAAGATGTTGGAAAGCAAGTTAGTGTTGGTACTAGACACAGTTAACACATAAAGGTCCGTGTATTCATCATGAGGAGGACTATGTAAACCTGCAAAACACTTGTACAATGTCTACTGTGACTCTGAGAAAAGCAACATGTGATCATCAGGGCTCAAGCCTTCAGATGTGTAACATAAAGCCTATGTTACAAAGCACAGTGTTGCACTTCTATAAAGTCGAGATGTGTCATTATAAACTCCAAAGCTTCATAAGATATCAAACAAAAGTTTTCATAGGCTAGGTGAGAACAATGACAACTTAACTAAACTTCATTTATAAATTAGTTAGGTACTTAAAGTCGAAGAATATTTTCAAACTGGACCCTATCGTCCCATGTTTTTTATTTCTAATTGACTTGATGAATACCACATTTGAAATCAAGTTTAAAAGTTAGCTTCAACATTTATGTTGTATTTCTCCTTCCCTCTGCAGCAACAAATCGTGCAGTACCTGAAGGACATGTTTGATCATGACAAGGTGCGCTTCACCTCCACTCAGTGTCTGGCCGAGGACCTCCTGAACCTTTCCCACCGCCGGAGTGAGATTTTACTGGGGTATCTGGGGATAAACAGCCTTGTGGAGCTCAATGGGGTCCTGCCCAGTGACACGGAGGAGTCTTCAGGGCCCAACTGTGAGAACTGAGTGCTTCACTGGGTTCATACGGGCTAATAGGTAATGGAGCTCATTCTGTAATCAACACTAGATTCAATCATTCATTCATCTGTGTTCATCCAACACACCTTAATGTGAGAGGATTGCTCTCACATTGACAGATCAATGGTACTAATGAGGGAGACCGGTTGGATAATATGATTCAGTCTTTCCCTCCTTATCAGCTGCTGTGTTTCAAGGCGTTTCGTCCTCACGTAATGTCAGAGGACTTGTCTCTGCCTTGTTTGGGGACATGAATATTTCCTGAAAACACCAGAATGAAGCGCTCCCAACACATGAAGACCAGGAGCTTCTGCTAAATCAATCCATATGGGTCGAGTCTCGCATTACGACCTTCCATTCATCGGACTTGTGGGATATCATTGTCGTCTTTCTTTGTGAAAAGAAATGGCGTGAGAGTCTGTCCACAAATGTGCGTTTGTGTGTGTTTTATATTCAAGGGGGAAGGATGGTTGCAAAAAAGCGTGATAAATCCTGACAGGCTCGGCCAGCTGACTACGTTTACATGCACAAAATATTCCCTTTTTTGTCCTTATTTCGGAAAAAGTCAATATTCCTGGAGTGCTGTTGCAAAGCTAATTTACATGCAGCTGTCAGTTTAGGATTGTTACAAAGTTTTCAATTGATGGCAGACTTGTTGGCAGACACCATTCAAAACACAGCCTCCCTCTTTCAATCCTTCAACCACCTTCCTGAAAAGATGGGCGTTTTGATTATTTGCGCATATTCAGTAAAACCAGTTGCTATTTAAAGCTTTCATCATGTTTAAAAGTAGGTGAGTTTATTTTTCCCACCAGAAATGTTGGTTTTGAACCTGAATATCGACATTTCCCATGTCTTTGTGGGGGAAAAGCTAAATTCAAATTAAGACCTATTGTATTTACATGAACCTTATCCAATTTGCGATATTATTGTGTATGTAATCGTTGTCACTGATTGTCCTTGAATCCCTCTTTAAAAATACGTATTTATTCCAATTTGGTTTCATCTAGCAGGCTAAGATGTCACATATCCCAGAGACTGTGCAACATGTAAAAGGACGTCATGTCAAAATGGTAACTTAAGTTGAATCATCCCAAAGTGTTATTTTGACCCCAGATCAAAGCTGTCTTCTAATGCAAAGGACACATAGCAGTGATTCAGCTGTGAAACAAAAGGTTTTGTAAAGTGTTACCCTCCGATTTTACCTGGCAACAGATGACATGAATATTTTTTCATTTTTAGTGCCACAGAGGCATTCAAATAAACGTCTAATAACACAATAGCAGTTGTGACAGGATATCTTTATTGCCAGAAAGAAAATTCCTCAAACACATCCGTGACCCTAGAAACTGAGTGAAATTCTAGCTTGAAATCAAAATGAGGACTTTGTGATGAACACGCTTGAAGATTTATTTTCTTAAAATGTTATAATTGAAGTATTTTTTAATTGGTTGAACCACTTAAATTGATTTAAAATATGTGGGCCTGAAATGTAGTTCCCTTTTTAAAAAGGTATATCAAGAACTAAATCAATGTTTTGATTGTAAAATGTGTAACAATAGTTATTCATGCATAAGGTTTTTCTTTAAGATCGCTGGATGTGAAAACGTTCAGGGGAAGCAGATTATAAACCAGTTTTACTAAGACTTATTTTTCACTGCAAATATTTGGACTTGTCATTGAAAGAAAAGCACTTGTGTAACTTAAAACAGTAACTATAAGTTAAACCAGCCTTTATTCATTAACATTGCAAAGAGGTTATGTTTTTGAATCCGCTTCATTGACAGCAGGATTACAACAACTGTTGGTCCAATTGTTTTAAGTAACTTGGTTGGTGGTTATCCCCTTTATATTTGTATTATTTACATTAGTGCCTTTCCTTCTGTGACATGTCAAATTGTCCTCCATGATTACACCTTTAGAGACTTTGAAAATACCCACAAATCCCCCTTTTATAATTGATTAAGAGCACTTGGGCATTCTCCATTACTATACACAATCTAAAATGGACACACTAAATGAAACCGTGCCATGTACTAGTGCTAGTGAGGATATTGTTGTTTGTTGTACAGTCCGACTGTAACCTATAAGTGCACTGATATTAACCCTGACTGTTTTCTGTGAACAGAGACACTGAAGGGGCCATAAGATGCCAACATGGATCATTACACTACTGTAAAAGCAAATATGTGATATGCAGCACACTGTAGATTGTTTGTTTAAACGGTCAAATACTAAATGATCTCAATGGAATGTGATTCAAAAGGTTATTTATTGTTATCTGCAGTAGAAGCAGTATGTATGCTTATGGTTGCCTGTGTGAATGATAAAAGGGAAGACTTCCCTGCCTGAAAAGATATTAGTTTCACAGATCTATCATTGGTTTATCATACAAATCAGCAAGTCTTTATTCAAAATCATATACATGTGTGTTTCGTGGTCTTGATCATCCAAATCCTGCTCTTGTTGCAACACGTCTTTGAAATTCAGATGTGCAGCTTTGTGTTTTGAAGCATTTTGCACTTTATCAGAAAAGCAGAAAGATGCAGGAATGTCCAACAACCCTTTTTTCTAATAATCCCTTTGAGAGTTTAACTGTACAAATTGCATTATTTATTGCATCATAGAACTGACATATTATTGAGCATAAATGCTGTATATTAGAGAAAAGATCTTTCCCATACAATTTTACAATGGAAATGATTTATTGTGCTTACTTTCCAAAGTGTTAGTTTTAGTCTCCATCTTTAAAATAACCTTTGTTATTTTGATTTTGACGGCGTGTCATCCAATCCATTCTCTCAGGCTTTAGTCCTGGTAATGTACTATCACATATGGAACATGCCAATGCAGTTGCAGAAAGGAAATGCTAATATTAGTCTTGTGTTCACGTTATGGTCTGCAGAAATGAATACCCTGCATGTTAACAGTGTAGATTCTTTCAAATGCATCAATCATTGTATCCCTGCAAGATTTAGAGCCAGGCTATTGTTTTACAAGCTCATTTATAACCGTCTAATTGAACGTGAAAGATTCAGGCATAGACTCTCCTACTTAGTGTGTATTCATGATTATAGAGTTGAATGAGGATTTCAGATGGCCAACATGTGGAAAGAATATTTTTGTTCTCTTTCAAAATTCACTGCTGTATATCATAAGTGTCCTATTCATGCCTTTTGTCTTTTCTATTGTTAAATTACAATGCCAGCACACTGTAAATTGATTTTGATTCTCCATGTTAAATGTTATTTTGTTATTAAACAATATGTTTTTGATGCCTTTTCCCACCTGATGCAGCTCACTGTATTTTGTGTCTCACCAAAAAATAAGATGATTGTCGAGTCAGTAGTGATTCAATGTTAGGCCATGGAGGGTGCATGCTCCTTTTGTACTCTTTTCGGAAATCATTTTATGCAATATCCTTACATTTGCCTTAAAGCATGTTTATCCAGGGGATATAATCAAAATATACAACCTATCTTAATTATCATGACTTTACCAAAACTTTTTTAAACATATATTAGTCCTCAATATAACTACAGTATATCACAGGCATTCTTTATCTCCTGAAAAACACATTTAATCTCTAGGAATATATGCATTCATCAGACTTCAGCATTGGTCTGATTTGAAACATGACATCTCAATATGTTCAATCCTTTCTGGCTGACAGTCTATTCCATAACGCTGCACTTGCTCTTTAAGGTTGCTTAACAATTAGAGGTACTCCAATAAAAAAATTATTGAGTTTGCTGTCTCAGATTTTACAGTTGACTTACTGTGTGTCCTGGTTTGTCAGTTTGTGTGCACTTAATGTTCTTGGCTAATTTAATGTGATTTGAAAAAAGCTTGGGTCAGTATCAGTCTCTGCTATTTATTTTTTTCTACTGGCTATTTGCTATTTGTAACTCATGTAGATGACATGGGCTTTTTTAAAAGACATTTCCATCATACATTGATGCACAACAGACCACATTGGAGCATACAAATTCAAAATAATTCAGTAAATGAAGAGTTAGACAATGTCCTGTCACCCCAGAGTTGAAATGAGAACTATTTCCTTGATCATGGCTTTATTTAACATAATTGTACATCTCTTTAACAAAAGTAGTCATCCAACATGCATATATTGCTGTGCTGTGCATAATCACGACTGCCGTACATAATGGCACCGTACATAATGGCAGCCCACTGCTCCTAACACTAGGATGGGTCAAATGCAGAGAAACCGTTTCGTTACATAGTACCTGTACTACGTAATGACAATAAGTTGAATCTTCTATCTTCTTCAATGCCCTGCTTTGACATGGTGCTGCAACGAAAACATTTTCCAATTTGGGATCAATAAAGTACATCTTATCTTATTATTGTCTGTGGTGTTTGTGATATGCTGCCCTCTTGAGAAAGATTGTAATCTCAATTAACCTGCTTAAATAAAGAAAACATATAGACTTACAAGTAGGCACATTTGCTATTCAATGAATTATTATTTATTTTTACTAACTGTTTGTAATTTAATTTGCTATTTTTGGGTCACTTAATAGAATTATCTGTCGAACAAACTGTAAATATGTGACTCCAAATAAAGAATACAAATAGAAACATAGCCTATAGACATATTAAATTAGTAACTTGATAAATATTTTTTTTTTTCTGAATGAGTACAGTTATCTTACAAGTGCTGGACTATTGTGTTTTTTTTAGTTTCATTCAATAATTCTTCTCTATGGGTAAAATATCTCCTCTCCGGTGATCTGTGGGGATTGGACGGCGGCTCCTCTGCCGGGGACTCAGAGCTCCGCTCCCGGATTGGTGCGACACGTGTCTGGGGCGTTTCTTCACTTTGCCCGGTTGTGTCCGGGTAAGATGGCGTTGGAAGAGCAGTGCTCGGCACCACCTCAATGGCGGTCCATATCTCTGACACACGTAGAGTTCCCGGAAGGTACGTAAACCAAACATATTTCTTTAACTAATGAGGATGTCAACCACTGTGCGAATTTTTATAATTTTCGTGTGTTTTCGCGCTGCTGAATGAACACGGCCGTTGGTGATACTGCCAAATAGTGAGACAGTATAGAACGTCGAGCTCAGCGGGGAATATAGCCCCGGACTGCTGAATTGTGAGACAGCGACGCATGCGCAGTCGGAGTTAATGTCCACAATGAAGGCTAGCTAGCCTGTTAGCTGCCGTAATATCGGTCTTCATATATTTGCTCACCATTAAGCGAATATTCCGCGTGCTGCAGGAATTATTTCGCACAATTCAAGCATACTGAACACTCAAACATAATGACTCACTGTAGTGGGAATAACTAGCTATTTCGTGCGGCTAATGGAGCTAGCTATTTGGCCTCATACAGATTAGTAAATTAGCTAGCTTTAACCACGTTGCACGGAGATGTCTGAAATAACAACGTAACATAATGTGGTGTGTTAGTTATCTAAATGGTGGTTTTGCTTTTCAGCCACAGCAGCTTCCTACTGCTAAATATTTCAACCATCCGGGTTCACTGAATCCCTTAAAGTGTCACTCCCACTGTTATGCGACTTTACTGGGGTTTATAAGCTTTAACATCTTTTGACAACACTGAATCCGTCTGCAAAAGTGCAAAGTAGATATTTGACTCTCGCCAGGTTTTTGGGCCGAGTACACACATTTGCAGTACTCAGATCTTACTTCTGCCTTTACTTAAGTAAAGGCAGAAGTACCTGAGTGTTACAAGTAAAATAACTGCAATCAAAATGTTACTCAAGTAAAAGTACAAAAGTAAAAATATACTTAAAGTACCCGCTATGCAAATTGTCCCTAAAGTCTGATTTAAGTGTTGAATATAATTCAAATCATTAATCAACATTTGAAAAGTTACTAAAGGTATTGAATAAATATAGTAAAGTAAAATTACAATATTTACCTCTGAATTGTAGTGGAGTAGAAGTACAAAGTAGCACAACATTCTCTTAAAATTGTACTTAAGCACAATACTTGAGTAAATGCACTTAGTTACTTTACACCACTGCACATTTGCCTTCGAGTGTTTACAGTATTATAGTACAAGGCCAAGGGTACACGTTTCTGTCAGAGACTTTAATGCGGGCCTACTACATTGGCGACACTGAGCACTTTTTTGTGTCAATCCTAAAAGTAAATATGGACCATAATCCCAGATCAAATGCACGATGAGAGGTCCTGAACATGTTGTCTTCAATGATTGTAATGTTATTTTAAATGTTTGTTACAATTGTTATAATTGTATATGTTTTGGTGTTGCAAATGGAGCTGTTGTGATGCAGGTAAAATGTCAGACTATTTCTAAAAAAGTGGTATCTATATAATGTCTGTTTGTCTTAGGTGATCTGATGGGACACATGCTGGCCTACATCAGTCTCCTACCCATAGCAGTCCTTGTGGGTTTTGTCACACTCATAGTGTTTAAACGGGAGCTGCACACGGTGAGTTCTGCACATGCACTTTTAGCACCACTTTAGAAATAGTTTTGTCACACTGTTAATTGTCTCAAAGGACCCTGAAGTATGGCGTCAGGCAGGCCAGAAATGTGTAAGCACTTAAGTGGTGAACTTCTTTTTATTTTTTACAGATTTCCTTCTTCGGTGGGCTCATCCTGAATGAAGGGGTGAACTGGGTGCTGAAGCACATTTTCAGAGAGCCGCGCCCATGTGCAGGTGATCAGCGCTGGGCATCACTGAAAAATCATAAATCAATTGTGAAATTAGTTCCATGTCAAAGAAAACAATCTCTCTGGCATTCAAAACAATTCAAATCCAGTCTATGCAAATATTCTTCAAATGGATTAAATTGTGTCCAACCAGCAACCTTATATATTTGTATAAAGTTAAAGAGTAAGAGACGCACACTTAAGCTTCAACTTGGGTGTTTTGTTTATGTAATTGTGGTCCATATTGAAAATGTGTTTTTTTTTGCAGGAGCTCACACAACCCTGCACACAGAGTATGGGATGCCCTCCAGTCATTCCCAGCTAATGTGGTTCTTTGTCGTTTACTTCTTTCTTTTCCTTTATTTAAGGTGAGTTTTGTCTTTGTATTTGGAGAGCTTTAAAGGGTCGAAACATCAAGCTGCGAAAGTGTAGCAACTTGCTAATATAATGTTCATGTCTCAAATCTCATATTTTTTGTTAATTTCTACAATTGAAGAATTCCATTAAGGTTAATAGCTAAAAAAAAAAAATAGATCTAGAAAATAATAACTTTATGTTAGCAACTCTTTTAAAAATGGTGTCATGAATGCATGCATTGTATAAGTGTTTGATGAAATCATATTCGTGTGAATAAAGTGTGTTTATAAGCACAGGGTTTCCCACACATAGACTATACTTGGGCGGGCCGCCCAGGTATATTAACGGTCGCCCAAGTATATTTCGCGACCCATTTAGGTTTTTTTTTTTTATTCGTCCGTGACCACGACGCCATCTGCGATCGATTAACTTGTGGACAATGATCCCTCGCTCCCTTGCTCTGATCTCGCCTCCTTCTGGCCTGTTAAGTGGCCTGCCTCACACAGGGTGACTGGCTGTCCACATGATGTGGCCTGCCGACATGGCCACTGTCATACAGATCATAAATCAAAGCCCTTGATTGGTCTCTGTGTGTCATTCAAGCTCGGGATAACCTCAGCTCAGGTGAGGTAAAGGACTCTCTGAGTGTTTAGATAGTTAACTTAGTCTAAGTTCTCAGTGGGTCTCAAACGGTGTGGTCACCATTTATGTAAACGCATATTTCCATTTGAGAGGGTAGTGATTGGTCTAATGGATAGTGAGGTGGGCTGAAGATCGGAAGGCTGTGAGTTCAAATCCCGCCAGGACCACCACAACTAGTGTGCCCTTGAGTAAGGCACTTAGCCCTTAGTTACTCCAGGGAGAATGTCCCTGTAATCGGTCATTATAAGTCGCTTTGGATAAAAGCGTCAGCCAAATGAAATGTAATGTGATTAGTAAAATATGCATGAATAACCCCCACTAAAAATCACATGGATAGGTTCCTAAATACATTTATTTTTTAAAATAGTAACCCATTTCCATATGTTCATGTGTAGGTAGTAGATAATTTAAACTATAGGTCTATCATTATGGATCCTGCCTGTACCTGTTCGCTCTGCCATCGCGTGAAGGGTCTGCTAACAAGCGACCAACAGAAAGGTTAATGTTGTTGCACGTCACCTCAACCCCCCCCCCCCCCCGCTACCACCACCCCCCCAAGTATATTTCAGATCTGTGGGAAACACTGCATGTGTTATTTACATGTTTATTCCAGCAGGGC